ATTTCTGGTGAAAAGGGCTTGATTTGTTTGGAGCAATTGATCACGCCCTGAAAGTGTTTGATAAAATGGCTCAGTCGATTGGACCAAGGCTGTATAGTTGCTGCAACTGCAGGAACCATGTAGGACTTCACGATGATATCATCTCTAAGGCTTTTCAGGTGAATCAGCTTCATCATCTCTTTTTGATTTGCTTGTGTCCCATTTGATAGATCATAGAGGTAGAGAGTTAAGTGGAGAATCTCACTATGACTAGCTTGAGCTGAGAATCTAACTTTCATATTTTAGGAAAACACTCGACTTTATTGTCCTTTATACTCAGAATCTGGAACGATCGATGCTTCTACCTGTGTTTACTGGCGCTAGAGTAAAATCAAGACATGGAAACAAAACATTTGACTGATGAAATGTTTATAAACAACAAGACTAGTCATTTATTGAATATGGCTGTGGTTGGTTATGGAATCAGTTGAAAAGCTTATGTTAGAAAGACACTCCCGACATTTTGTGTTTCTTAGTTGTGAAACTCATTTACAATTGGATTTCTAATCCGTTGTTCTCAATTACTAGGGAAGAACTGGGCGAGCCTTCCTCTTTTCCCACGCAATGAACATTGTGGTAGGACCTAAAGAAGACCGGCATCTTCTAACGGGTCTCCATACTGTAGCTGATATATCTTGTGCTGACTGCAATGAGCCGTTGGGTTGGAAGTACGAGCGAGCTTATGAGACTTCACAAAAGTACAAGGAGGGCAAATTCATATTCGAAAAGGCTAAGATTGTCAAGGAGGATTGGTAGCTAAGAGAACATGTTGAATTCATTATTGGATTGGCTCAAAAACTGTACATAGATAAATTTGGCTTTGTCGATTCCGATCTCCACGGATTATCACAAGTCATCATCATCCATTTTTCGGTTCTTCATTGCCTCTCTGCGTGTTAATTATGTAGTCTTTTGTGTTCAACTATGGATGTGTTCGTTCAAGGTTTCTCTGTCAATAAAGATGATAATAGTTTCTCTTGTGATTTAGCTCAGTCTGTTGTAAGTACACATGAATCTTCTCCATAGCTGATACCAAAACTCAGGAGGGAAAGACTTGCGTGCCGTTTCTGTTTTCTCATTTAGACAACGTGCTATTTTATGGTTGCAAAAGCCGAAAGGTCGCCGTTTTTTTGGTGCAATGCCAACGAAACTTTTAGGAAATATACCAGGGGAAGGAAATAGAGCTAGAGAACAAGGGAGAGAGATGTATCCGAAGAAGCCGATATGGAGCGATGGTGCATCAGCGACGCCGGAGAATCCATCGGAATCGGAGAACGGTGAGGATTCAGACGCGGCGGCGATGGTAGTTGAAGAGCTGGTGACTTCTCTCAATACACAGAGACTTTACAGGGAGCTGACACTATCCCTCCGGACAGGATTACGCGATGCTTGCGCTGAATTCTCTTTCCTTCGCATCCGTGGTCTTCGATCTCTTCTCAAAACTCTCCGATCTGTCGCCGATTCAGATTCCACCATTCGCCTCTTCTCTCACACCCAAACCATTACCGATCTCCAACGTCTGATTATCTCTATCTTGTCGTTTTCCCCTTTGTAATTTTGTTCTCTGATGATGGAAGCCTTGTGATTTCGCAGTGGTTCCGGTGCTTTTCCAACATTCATTGAAAGAAACGGAGGATGATAGAGTGACGAGCTTGGATCACATATTCAGCGTCGAGCCGATGAAGATAACGAGTCCTTCTACAGATGCTGAGGTCGCGGTTGCACTTAGGGTTCTTGAAGGATGTTGCCTTCTCCATCCTCAGAGCACTGTTCTTGCTCATAAGCACGGCGCCGTTCGAGTAAGATTCTCAGTTTCTGACTTACTTGTAGTCTATTTTGAAACATTTGATCAGAAGCAGAACTCTGGAAATTAGTATCCTGCTTCTATGTTGTAAAATGATCATTTCTCACACTAACTCGGCAGCATGTCTGCGAAAAGGGAGACGCTCGTTTAAGTAATATCTTGATCATTTCTCATTCCTCTTG